TCGGCCCGGGACCAGCGCGCCAACGTTGAAAAGGTAGAGACGTCCGAGTTGGTTGAGAGTTAGAGCCACACTGTTTACTGAAAGGGCCTCAGCACGGGGCCTCGCACCCGGGTTGTAGAGTACCTAGGTACAACTTACAAGTAACTGGAAAGCGGTGTCTAGGTACTTTTGTTGTACCTGAGGTACAAACCTGGGTACTTTCGTCTCTCGGTACCTGTATCTGTGTCTTAGGTACATTTTCCAGCAACTTGTAACTGAGTGAAGTTATTCTTTACAGGTACTTTTTCATTCACTTCGTCAAAATGATAGAAACTTAAAATCGTGAGGTATTAACACACTACCATATGCCGTTATTAACGTTGAGTTGGGTATGACCTGGGAGGCATTGACTTGATCGAACAACGTTTAAGCGAACAGAGCCCCCCCCCCCCCCCCCCCCCCCCTTCCCGTTCCATGGTGTTTTATCGAACGACACTTCCGCGAATGATGGCGTTATTTTGAGCGAACGATGGATTAGCGATGGGGTTCTAGCGACACCAATAAATCGAATCACTTCGGAACTCCGTTTAGGAAATATAGCGAACTGCTTCCTTCATCTCAAACCAAAATCAACTTCGTTGAGTGTCTAAAGCTCCTCTGATATCTATACAACGGAGGAGATAACTTGAAAGATGTGTGCAGTTTCTGTTAAAGCCCTGTATCTAGGAAAAGTGGCGCATTCTCTTCCCTCCTCCTAAACTGCGATCGAAGATGTCAAATAAACACATCGAGGAGGTCCTGATTCTAATGTCAAATAGAGCACCTAAGTGAAAAAGATAACGTGTTCTAAATTGCTCATGTGAATGCGGTCTTTCCTTATTTCTTACATTGACACCAATAAAACACATTTATCGAGCTCGTTTTTGTGTGTATCTTTAGTATAAAAAGCTTTACTTTCAATATATTCTGACAAATTTAGGGAAAAATAAATAAAAACAGTATCTTTGAAGTAACTGTAACTGTACCTGTACTTAGACACATTTTTTAAGCGAGAACCGAGCTACGTACCAAGCTACCTTTTCATATATGAATAACTGTAACTGTATCTTAGGTACATCTTCGAAGTAACTTTTACAACCCTGCCTCGCGCCCTGGGGAAAGGATGGACGTGGAACTACGACGCTCTTGAGCGAGCTGGCAGTCAAGGCTCCTACTTACAGTTGCGTTGGAGTGCGTTCGACTGCGGTGCGGCTGCGAGAAACCAGAACATCCCTGCTTCTTAAGTCGCGTGTCAAGATGATTCTTTGAATTGGATTCCACGCTTCATACGCAGCACAGATTCGCCAGTGACCCGCTTTCGTTTCTCGACGCAACGCAGTTAAACACACTCAAGCGTTTTCAAACTCAACTGTGTGTAGGGGCCTCTAATAATCTTCGCGCATGATCGCTGAGAAGAATTTACGAACTATACGGCCGTAAATTGATACAATTCGTTTATTTTTGTTTGAATTTGAAGCGAAGTCATCTCGCGTTATTTGTTATTACAATTTAAGAAAAAAAAAAGCGTTACATCAGCTTGAGGGTAACGGGTTTAACGTTACCTTCAAGCTGATGTAACGCGTTTTTCTTAAATTGTAGTAACGGGTAACGTATTTAGTTACTTCATTTCATAACGCGTACATGTCTGCGGAGCACGTATCTAAATGAAACTTTGTGGAAATGCGCTTGTGTGTTAATCGTATATGTGCAAGTTCGATACAAGGGTTCAAATAACTTTGGCTAAAATGGTCAAGTTCAGCTTCTGGTCATGCACTAAACAGGAGACAGACATCATGTACGTCTGCCAGTCAGCCGAAGAAGACATTATCCCGCTAACCGACTCCCTAATTGACTAGCTAACTGCCACGAAACAATTGGACACGAGCGTTGGACGAAGGTTGATCAGGACACTCGAAAGCTCAAGCGAGGATGTCAATGAATCCTTTTACAAAACTGACAGAGTTGGAACATTCCAATCTTCTTGGAATGTGTATGCACAAGTGTATGCACGTCGCATACGCTCTTTCTCTATCTCTCTCTCCCTCTTTTCTTTATAAACTAGGAAACAAATATAAGGAAGAATTGGATACCGCTAAAGCGGTACCGGCTCTCCTGAGTTTTTGAAATCAAATCTTTGTCTATTCACTCTATAAAACATAGCTAAATGAGAAAAAAAAAGGTTTTAAATTTATTTTTATTTATTTAGGTGTCGTAAAAAACAATTCCGTTTTTAAAGAACGCAGCAAACAGTAACCCGTCTCAGCCTTCCAGGAACGCGACGCAGTGTCATAGTCGCCACGTCTTTCTTTTGTGCTGTTCTTTTTTTATGTTTGGAAGTTTTTTGCGTTTGTAGAGGTCTTCTTGAAGCGTCTTGAAGTCCTCTCGCCTGCCTCTATTTTTGCTTTTCTACAATTTTGTTTGTGGCCGGCAGACCGGGTCAGGTGTTTTTCAGTTTGGCAGCCGGCCAGCTATAGGCTGACTCTCTTCAAACTTGGCAAGGTTCACTCACTGTTTCAGGGCTGAATCTGTGATAGCTTCAGTAAGAATGCAATTCTGCATTAATAACAAGCGCCCTGCAACAGCGTTTGTTGCTAAGGGAAAAAAAGGGGGGGGGGTGCAAGAAATACTGTTCCTTAAATGACATCCATCCGGTTAATCACATCATGTTTCAACTTGACCTTCACGTAGTGGATGTACGTGCGTTGGTTAATTACATACCACCCTTAACTCATCCCAAGGTAGCACAAAATTAAATGCGAAACTATATCTTCCCTAGGCTTCGTTTATAGAGAAGTTAAGTCGCGCGATAAATTGCAGCTCAAAAAGTGTGGTGTTCGCTACTGCGCTCCCCAAAATCTGCACACATCAATTACTCAACCCTCGATCTTGACATTGACCAATCGGTGTAGCTCTCCGATAGAACGCTGAGTACAGATAGTCCCTCGGGATCCTATATGCATGCTTCAGTTTCTGAACCAAAAGTTCTCGAAAGGATATCAAGATTCACACGAACAAAAACGGCCAGCCCATGCTGCCCTGTAACCCAAACCAATATTTCCATGCCAAATCGAGACGCTTATGTGCCTCATCCCCACATTCACGCATCCCCCCCCCCCCCCCCTCCTTCACAACACACCGCGTGCCTTCGTAATCGCTTTATGATCACTCTTCACCATCGGGCAAGAGCATACAAGAAAGAGATCGCGAGTACACAGAGCCGGCCGTTCCAGCGCGTCAGAGCCGGGCGAGACGCTGGGAGGCCAAGGCGACATACCGCGCGCCACGCTCGCCGCTCACGTATCTATTCTAGATAATCACGGCGGCACGGAGTCGCGTGGCCGCCGGACTTTCCCCAAGGCAGACGAAAACGGGGCAAAGGTCTCGCGTGGCTGTGCGGGGACGGTGGGATCCATCACTGTCGACGTGTGCCACATCGGACGGGGTCCTGCAACGCGCGTGCCGCTTATAGGCATGCATCCCCTTTCCCCAGATACTCTTCCCACCCTTTCCCTCCCTCTACTCCCACACACACAGCCCCCTATCCTCCAAGGATCGGCTGTTGTGTCGTCTAAAAGTATACCGAGTGTTATGACAATATATTCCACGGACAAAGATAGCGCGGCTGGCTACGGAGTATATACTCGTATGTATGGTCAGACTTGTTTTACTCTTCGGGCATATTTTGAGCGTCTATCTTCTCGGAAATACTTCATCTCTCTCTTCCTCTCTTTCTTTCTTCCGATTGGATGGCGTGCACCTGACTCGTGCCCGCCAGCTGAACCGCAACCCACCGTAACGGGAACGGTAATAACGGTTTCGCTTCAGCAAAAGGGCATTCAGCTTCAGCAAAGGGACACGCACACACAAACACAATCGGTCATGCCACGTCTCGGAAGTTCCTGCGACCAAAACGAGAGATGCCGGTATCCGATACGCCCACGGGATCCTTATTTCGTCGTCTGGGGACAAGGGTCAGCAAACCCCCGAGCCGGGTCTCGAACCCTCTTTCCCCAAGAATCCTCTTTTTCGGGGGGAAAGAGGCTAGGGGTCAGCGGCTCTTAACCAGCGACGTTCCTCAGAGTCCCTAACTCTCTCCCCTCCAGCCGCCTCCCCGAACCGGAGAAAAAGGTACATTGAACTTTGCTGCCGTCGTCGTCGCGTGCGGGCGAGCGGCAAACCATATACAAGAAACAAGAGACCTCTTGAACATAACGGAGGAAAGAAGGGGGGGTCGAAGGGAATGGAGAGGAAGGTCAGAACTCCCCCAGTCCCTCAACTCCGCCGCCGTCGACGACGACCAAAGTACCGCGCAGACGAGACCGGAAGCTTGACCTCGTAGGGTTCGAACCCGGTGCGCGAGGTCGCACGTGCTGCGTGTGTGTGCGTGCATCCCCCCCCGGTCCCACCAGCCGCTCTTGTCACGTGACACCAGTCGTTGCAAACGACCGGTCCGTACATACGCGCGGCGGCATCGAAATAGAAAGTGCACGCGTGTCTTCTGTTTTTGTGTGCGTGTCTGTGTATGTTTGTCCGACGATGTAGTCCAAGAAGTCCCCTCCCCTTCCCTTCCCCCTTTCCTCAAACGCACGTGAAGGAAAGGGACGCCAAAGGTAGATAATCACACACGCACCGCGTATACCAGTGCGGTCGGCAAAGACCACGAACCGCAACAAAATTTTGAACCCCCTCAACTGGCAATGAAAAGTCGAAAAAAAAGAAAATACGAGCCACCAAATGTCGGCAAAAAGAAAACTAAACAACACCAAGGTGCGCGCGCGCGCGCTCGCTCCCCGCTCGCACGCGTGCAAGCGCGTGCTTACGCGTGCTCGCGCGTGCCCCGCGCGCGGCTCCCCATTGGTCCTTTCCCACGTGACGGCCGACCAATGGGCGTGCTCCGATGCGTTGCCAGGCGACCGGGGGAGCCAGTGAGGAGGCGGTGGAGGCAGGGTCCGGGGTTTCGGGGCTCACTCGCCGCGGCGGTTGGGGCCTGCAAAGTTCGTCCCTTCGCGGAGTCTGGACCCTCGGGCCGAGGCTCGCGCCGCGAGGCAGTCGCTGTTGCTTTTTTTCTCGGTGTCGATGTTCGGGGGGTGGGGACCCGGTGCCATGTGCTCGACGGACCCGGGGTTCGGGCGGCGGGTCGATCGGCGACGGGGCGGAGCAGCGCCGGAGGACACCACGGCGCGGAGGACATTTCCGTGAGTGTTTTTTTTGCGGAGTTGGAAGTAACGCGTCTCAAATAACGACGTTACTGGAAATCGCGTTAGTTTTCCCAGTGACGTGCTAATGTACTCGATAAAATTAAAATTACTAAGGAGTAAATTAATGTCGTTTCTATTGTACGATATAGTGTCTATTAAATTACGACACCCGTTACTCTGGATCGAAATTTGTCACGTTTTTACTTTCTTTAAATTGGCAACGGTGCCATTGGGACCCCGCCGTATTCTACAAATTCGTGAAACAAAGAATAAAACAATAAAACAAAATTCATTCCGCAAGAGTTCGGTTGTTGCCAGAGGTCGCATCCACGGCTTATATCGCTGCCAAATACTGATATCCAGAGTGACACAAAGCTAATGAAGACGAGTAACCTTTGTTATATCACTGGGGAGTGTACACGGTAGCAGTGTTTCGTTACATGTGCAGGACGGTAACGAATCTCAGTAGCGCGTAAGATTTTAAACGCACTTACAAGTAAATTTATTGCGTTAGTTATGTTCAATAGCAACACCTTTTTTTTCTCTCACTGGGAAAATTGATGCAAGTTTGTTCGTAAGATAATAGACGAACGCGCGCGGGCGAAATGCTGAGCATATATTAAAAAAAAAAATAATAATAATAAAAAAAGCGGCGGCGTCGCACGAAAAAGGGGACAAACACAAAACATCTTGCGTTTGTCGTTTCAAATTTGTCCCTCTCTTCGTTCGCCGTCCCCGGTTTTCTTCATATATGTGTAACAGCAACCAGTTCGCCTGTTTGCTGACCTTCTCTGCTGAACATGTGTTGCTGCTTCCTGTGTGCTCCTCCCGAGCTCGGCCGGTTCATCCGCGCGACGCTGAGGTGAGGGGGAATCACAACATCGGACGCCCCGTAAAACCAAATGTTGACGCGGTCCTGCCACGTTTGGCCATACAATAAATGCCTATTGCAACATATGATGTACTGAATGTAGCACGCTGTTCCACTGATTGTGTACGTCGCACGATAACTTAAAGAATCCGTGAAACGAATTTTGGAACTTTTTCTTCCTTAGCTTTCCTCCTCGACTGAAAAGGGGGGGTCACGTGGTCGCGACGTGCTTGGGCAATGACTCCGAGCTGTCACCGCGCTTTTTAAGCGCACCATCGCCATTCGCGAATGATGATAAGTGCCATCATGGAGCTCGTTTGCCACGAACGCGAATCCAAATATTCGTTGAGAGATGTCATCAATATTTGAAATCTCATTGATGTAGATATTAAAAAGAATTGGTCCCAGCATACTTCCCTGCGGCACGCCGGCAATTTGTGGCCCAAGATCCGATTTTTTTTTTTTTTTTATTTATTACAACGCACTGGTAGCGATCACGAGGATAACTTCCAATCCTGTTCAAAGCAACACCGTAAATTTATTTATTTATTTATAGATATTGCTGGCCCGTGGGCCGTGGCAGGGAGGAACAACATATAAGAAAACAATACAGTTCATACCTTCAATAAAAAATTTGAACAGTACTGTATTAACAAAATTTGATACAACTTATATAACTTTCGAACTAATGTAACATGATTGATGCTGTCAAATGCCTTCGAAAAATCGACAACTACTCCAAGTGTTAACATCTTTTTTCAATACTGTATCAAATAAGTTTGCTCGTTATTTTTTTTTTCAACAAAGCAAGTTTTGTAGAACAACCCTTTCTAAATCCATATTCACTGGGCGTTATAATGGAACATTCTTCGAAAAAACTATGTTGGCTGTGATGTATTATTTTTCTAGACCCTTTGAAAATATGATATATATACATATATATATTACTCTTGATTTTTGGCCTGGACATCTAAGCAACCGATTAATCAATTAATTATTCGATTAACAATGGCAATCAATCGGGCTAAATATTCTAATCGACGCCCAGCCCTAATCAAAACGAATCATACAAACAAAATAAGAAATAAGGAGGAAACGGGAGAGATATGGCCAAGCAACCTGACCACAGGATTCAACGGGGTTGATATCATTTTAAAGGTACCACGATAAATGTATATCTGTAATTCTAATGAACTTATCAGGCGCAGTATGCTTAAAAAAAAAAAAATATATATATATATATATATATATATATATATATATATATATATATATGTCATGCAGTCAAAACGCGTTGCTGGATATGATGCCGCGAGTTAGAATAATAATAATAATAATAATAAAATATGGAAAAACGTCTACAGCAAAAAAGTTGGCTAAGCTATAGAAATCGGTAATCCTGATTTTAAGATGTATATATATATGCTTTTGTTGATACAATTCTCTAAGTGCATTTAAATAAACTTAGAACGAATATTAAATATATATATATTCACAAAATATTTGTCCTTATAGGAGATGGTGGTCCAAGGTCACCAAAAAAAGTGATCTGCAGATGCGTTTCGAGCCTGGTAGGCTCTTCGCCAGTCAAAACGAGAACACTTCGTTTTCCTTTTCTTTTAATCAAAGAAAAAACGGCCAAAAAGAAGAAGAAGTAATTGGAAAAATGCTTACCGTTTAGCGGGTATCTACTTAACTAATTTCTCGCTTAAAGGTTTAATATATACCGAAAAAAAAGCAGCAAATAGTATTGAAGTGATTAAATATAATATTATTAACGCCATTATTATCAGAAAACCAGTTTTTGGGACATGTGGTTGGACATAAGCCAACTATACCCTGGTGTCATGTGAAGCCAATGAGAGGCCCAATGTTAAGCGTTTGCTCGTGTCACATTAAACGATGAAGCGAGAAAAAAAAAAAAAAGAAGCAACAGTGCAGCACCGATTAGACGGTCTCTGTTAAATGTCCATAAAAAAAAGACGGCAATGACCCTTTCGAACTGTTAAGGCCCTTCGGTTCTAAAGTATTAAATTTATAAATAAATTCAGATTCTTTATTTTTTTTATCTCTGGTGTTTCGAAAGCCGCCCTGGAGTAGAATAAAATTAAAATCCGAAAGTCCGTTATGTCCTGCGGAGTTTAAGTGACGAGAAACTGATCCGGCAACGTTTTTACGTATGTGACTTCTATGTAAATTCATGCGTTTTCTTATGCTTCTTTTAGTTTCTCCTATGTATTGAATTAGGCTTTTTTTTTTGCATTGAATCAAATAAATAACATTTTCCGAATCACAGTCAAAGGTATCATTTATTTTCCAGTTAAAGTTATTTCCGTGCTACGAATAGAGTTAGCTATAATTATATCAACACGTAAACTGCATTGGTTATTATTGCGACTTATGCAACCAAGAGGGACCAGGCTACGTCCGATGGAGTTTCGGGACTGTCTAAAAAAATCCAATAAATTACGTGGTCTCTTAAACGCTTTACCATGTGGTCGAGGGATAACAGCCTTTAAAGCAGTGTCCTTTTTTTTTATCCCAGGTGCTGTTCATATATATATATATATATATATATATATATATATATATATATATATATATATATATATATATATATATATATATATATATATATATATATTACAGTAACATTGCTAACCTGGTTTCCTCAGGTTATGAGCACACATATTTTGGTTGCATGCAGAAAAAACGCGGGAAATGGCACGACTTTTAATGCCTTTCAACAATAATGCTCGTATACTATTTAGTAGGACTCCGAAATTACTAGATTTACCTACCGAATAATCGATTAATATCCAACTATGCTTCGAAACAATTAATTGGATTGTCATAAACATCTTTTTTGTCTTTTTTTTTTTGCAAAGCACCGCGTTTTTTTATGTCTACATATTTATGTTGTCAAATAGACATTCCAGTGTGAAGAAAAAACATAAGTAAAAATAAACGCACTTATATTTCAGTTTTAATTACCTAGATAGTACATAACAGTGGACAATTTGAATTTAGTATGCACATTGCTTTCTGCCATCTCCTCTTTTTCTGCCATCAGTAGGTGACATTTAAATTATGCCAGAAAAGCACAGACACAAATAAAACTGTTTCATTAGAATATATTCATCCTGGATCGCTATTGATTTACTAATCCAAGCAATTCTGGTCCCCAATTGTACAATTTTTATATTTATAGTTGCGTGCTACTTGAAAAGTTCTATCAGCCTGTGCATTAAACTAACTTACAGATTAATTAATCGAATAAAAATCACCGAGTACTCAAATCAGCTTTTTTTTTTTATTGGCGCACGATTAGTTTTTTTTCGGTTCTTCGTTTTAGGTTGATAATTAAATTAGTTATACGCTAGGCAGTTGGTCATCGTAAAGAATATTATACAGCAGAATTTATTTCTATTTGTTTATTTATTTATTTTCGTTTGCGTGCCTAAAACAACCATGCAGGCCTCCTCTTTGGCGCACAAATATATAAATATGACCAGAAAAAAATATTGCAGGTTTTAATCGCACAATATTTAAAGTTCGGCAGCAAGCACTTTCACATGGTTCCTGAACACCTTAATGTCACTGTATATAAGTATATATCAATTCGGCGTTTTCAATACTGATAAACAGATTGTATCAGTGACAGAATAGATGGTCTACAGATGCTGAATGAATGCTGAATATAATGAAAATAGAATCGCGACTTCCTTGAAAAGAAATCAAATAAATCATGTTTATTGGATTTAAATCAAACTTATTTTATTTGAATCAAATTATTTCGAATGAAATAACTGTAGCTTAAAAATAGTGATTCTGTAGTATGTATTTTTCGACATGGAAGATTGATTGATCAATTCGTCTGATCACCGATAACGATGCGGAGGAGAGAATTGCTGTAAATGGGGGTAACGTGGTGCTTTTTTTTATTATTTTTTTATGTAAACCCATGCTACACTTAAACAAAAACAGTTAATTTGTTCTTATTAACCTTTTTTAAAGTTGTGGTTTGATTCCAATAGCACATTACTTTTCTAGTTTTCGTTTCTTTCTTTTGCGCTTTAATTTTCTTTCAGTGTGATGTTACGTAGCTGACGAACCAAGTGCAAGG